CCTATATATATATATATATATATATATATATATATATATATATATATGGACCAGCAGTTAGCGTAATGGCTATGTTGCTGGACTCCCACGTAGTCAACCGCAGTTCGTGTCCCAGACCTGGTGGCTTAAAACTCACGCCGGGCACATGTGCGTGCGTGCCCAAGATCCCGAGAGGAGTATGGAGGAGAAGAGATTACAGCATGGCCATCGCTCCTTGGGGGGAGGGGTGATTTTTCACTTTCTGTCTCTCTGTCTCTCTCTGTCTGTCTGGTGAGCACATGTGCCCTATAGCAAAATATATATGTACATATATATATACACACACACATTAAAAAAGAATGAGTCTAATAAAAATTGTACATCAGTTTGACTAAGAGTATTTCATTAAGGTGATATTGCTCTCATCCTCCCCTCTCCTTACCTACAGTTGTACACTAAATCTATAGAATTAAAATCTCTGAAGATGGAACCTGGAAATTTGTAATTTTTAAAAATTTGCACAATTATGGGGCCAGCAGGTGGCATGGTTAAGAGTGCTGGACTCCTCCATGGCCAACCACAGTTTGAGTCCCGAACCTGGTGGCTTGCATTCTCATTTTCCCTTTCTCTCTCTCTGGTCAAATTAAAATAAGTAAATAAATAAAATAAAAGTTAAATGAAGTAATTCTTTTTTAAAAAAATTGCACAATTATGATGTAACCCTAATTCTGAACCCCTGAACTAAAGTGTTCATATGCTTCCAAAATAGGAATGAGGTTGTGGTAATTTAGAGTTTGGATAGGAGTGTATCTATAGAAGAACCAGGTAATGTGAACCGTAGCACTCTCTTCTGAAGTCTTACGTATATTTTAGTGCTACTTCTACAGTATATATTGGACTAAGATGACAGATTCTGAGCTGGGAAAACGTAGGGATCCCTGCCTGGCTCACAAAGAATTTGGAACTTGGGCAAGTCAGTGATATGGTGGTTAAGGTAGCTGGAGCCCACATGCCCTACCGTGTGGTTTGAGTCCTGGACCTGGCAGCTTGAAAAACATTCTGGGTGCATGTGCATGCATGCCCAAAATCTTTAGAGTAGAAAGGAAAAGAAGAGATTGTGGTATGGCCATCCCTCCTGGGAAGGTACCTTCCTGCTTTCCCCCTTTCTCTCTCTGCTTTCCCCCTTTCTCTCTCCAGTGAGGATATGCACCCTGTAACTTTAAAAGAAAAACAAAATTTCAGAACTTCTATCTCCAAAACATGAATAGCACAAGCCATCCATTCTAGCATTTGAACTATAGACAAAGGGTAGAAACTACTCTTTCAGCTTGTCTGACTTGGTTTCCTGACTTTGCTTTACAGACAGCAGTGGCCCTTCCAGCACTGTGTCCAGTGCTGGTCCCTCTTCCCCTACTGCAGTGGATGGTAACTCCCATTTTGGCTTCAGTGATCAGTCCTCCCTAAATTCACATGTGACTGAAGAACGTCAAGGCCTTGGGCTGCTCCAGGAGATCCCTGGGAATGGAGCACAAGAGCTCCCCACAGAAGGGGAACAAGAGCTTTTTGAACCAAACCAGTCCCCACAGGAGGCACCTGAGGAAACTAACCAGCCATGCCAGGATGTTGCTGAGGAGGTCAGCCAGTCATGCCAAGAGGTGCCTGACATCAGCCAGCTCTGCCAGATCATCCCTGAGGAGGTCAGTCAGCCATGCCAGGAGGTCCCCGACATCAATCAGCCATGCCAAAAGAACCATGACCATGTTAATTACACATGCCAGGAAGTCCCTCAGCTCAGCCAGACATGCCAGACTGACCAACTATGCCAGGAAGACTTTGAGGAAGTTTACGAGTTTTGCCAGGAGAACCCTGAGGAGATCAGCCATCCATACCAAGGGATCTCTGTAGAGACTGGCAGGCTGGTCTATGGGTTTCCTATAGGGGCTGGGGACCTAGTCATCCAGGAAACCCTTGAGGAAAATGACAGACTAGTCCAAGAAATCCCTGAGGAGCTCAGCCAGCCCGGCAAGGAGGTCTCTGCGGATGTTGACAGGCTAGACCAGGAGGCTTCTGCAATCAGTCTTTTGCTTCAGGATGTCCCTGAGGTTGATAAGCCATCCCAAGAATTCCCTGGAGAGGTTGATTTGCAGATCCAGGAGGTCCCTGAGGAGGTTGATCAGCAGTCCTGGATGGTCCCTGAGGTGACTGCCCAACTGCCTGAAGAGGACGTTCCCCAAGTCCAGTATCCATCTAGTGATCCAAACCCTCAGAGCCAGTCTCTAGCCCATGACCAGTACTCACCCCTTCCACCAGGAACATATGATTGATCATTTTCTCATTATTGGTGTCACACTATACCAGCCATTTGAGCCAGCAATCTTTTTTTGTTGGCTGACTCGCTGGCCAGCAAGAGACTATGGCTGTCACCAGAGGTGTCTGAGGAAGCAGTTCTCTTGGAATGAAGTATACTTGTGCCAGAGCTATGCTTGGGAGAAACCAATTTCATGTACAAAGCAGTTGTTGGTTCCTTATCTAGTCATTATACTTGACCAGGATTTCCTTGAGGTGGGCTGATCTGTCATTGTTCAGCCTACTCTGAGCATCACAGGAGATCCCAAATCATTGAGGGAAATGCCACTTAACTGCTGAAGACACAATCGGGGAACAGCAAATGCAAAATGAAGGACTCCAGGGTCTTTACTTTTGTGGAAATACTCACAAGTTCTCAAGGTACCCTTAGACCATATGTGCATTCAGGGGGACTCTTGTCTTTGCTTGCACTCCTCAGGTGGGCCTAGGATGGCTATCTGAAAAGTTTGGAAAAAAGAGTCCTCTTCCCAAACATATGTCATGGCCACTAATCTTAGACTGAGCTTATGGATGTTTCTATAGCATCCCTAAGTGTCCCCTCTGCTCCAGTCCTATTCCTCTGGACAATAGCTCTAGAGAAAAATAGGTATTAAGTTCCTGTGCAATTTCAAAGTAAGTCAGATGCTCTAGGGGATTGTCATCCAACTTGTGAAGCTGGACGTCTCTATTGTAGAGCTGTTTGGCTTAGGAGATGCTGTAGTAGAGAGAATCAGGTTCTATTTTAAGCAATCATTATAGATTGATATTGTACAGACATGAACAAAGATTTAATAAATATGTGTGTATATATATATGTATATATACACATGTATATATACATATGTATGTATGTATAATTTTTATAGTTGTGCCAGGACAGACTGGCCAATGACCAAATACTCCAGGATTCTTAAGAAGTTCATCCTTATATCATTGTGTTTTTAGGGCCAGATGTGATTATAAAGCTTTTCCCAAAGATCTGGGGATGGGAATGGGGGTGGGTAGATGACTAATGTGATCACTAAAGTGGGGGCCGGAACATTATGAGTGCTTAATAAATGCGAAACATGAGAATGGTGGTAGTGGTGGTTGTGATGTCATTGCGAATTCAAAATGAATATAGCTGAATCAATTGTGTCTGTAACTGAATTAATCGGACTCAGTAAAAAAGCCACTGGAGGGGACCAGCAGTTGGGGTAATGATTATGTCCCTGGACTCCCATGTAGTCAACTGCGGTTAGAATCCCAGACCCAGTGGCTTAAACTCATGCAGGGTGCGTATGTGTGCATGCCCAAGATCCCAAGAGGAGAATGGAGGAGAAG